TCGTTTGGAAGTGTTTTTTAAATAGCTAAAAGAGTTTTTAGGGTATATTTGTTTAGAACCAATCGTTAATAAAAAATGATAGCGAATCCTGGAAAAGCCATTGAAACGCTTCTTGCAGGAAGCACATAACATTTTTAAAAACATTTTGGGGCAGTTTTGAAAATATAAAAACTAAAACCTTAAAGCTCAACCTAACTTCACTCTCCCTGACCTAAAATGACATAAATGTTTTTGGAACCAATCCTTAGTAGAAATGTAAGCGAATCTTGGAAAAATCCTTAATATGCTTCCTACAAGGAGCACTTAATGTATCTAAAAACATTTTGGCGCGATTTTGAAAATATAGAAACTAAAACCTAAAAGCTCCTTGACCTCAACCTAACTTCAGTCCTCTCTCTGTAATCTAGGTCAACCCAACTTCAGTCCTTTCTCTCTAATCTAGCGCCTCCCTCTTCAGTTCTCTTCCTCTCTTTCGAAGGGACCCCGCCCCCTCTCCTCTCTTCAATTTCTCTTTGTCTCTTCACAGTTCCTTAACTTCTTGTAGCCACTTGGGTTCGCATCCTATGTTGACTTGCGCATCATCTACCAACTAGTTGATTGGGCATTGCAGGAGTGCATCAACGCAGAAGTAGCAGAGCAGGATAAGACTCCAAAATTAAGCATTTGCATATTTTGATTGGGCATTGCGTATTTTGATTGGATTATGTGTATTTTGAATTTTTGATTGACTATTGCTTATTGCAAAGATAATAGATGTGTTGGATTATTTAATATAAATCAATTTTTAAGTAGTCTACTACACGTAATATTGGAGAATAATGTAGATTGTGATTTGATCTCTTAAGATATCAATTTATATTAAGTGTCTTATAATATAAGTAGGATTATTGGAGTCCTTAATTACTTGTGATTATGATACTTTTCTTGGTAGCTAAGAAAGTGATATCAGGTTTCCTTTATGGACGAAAATCCTAGCCTTTAGCTTGTATAAATACTAAGGTCCCTACAAACCTTAGATACGCACAACATAATACCTTCCATATAAAGTAGTTGTATCTGGCAAGGTGTTTGTAGAAGACTACTTTGGTGTTGCTGGAGCCTTCTTCCTTGTTTGACTTCCGTGGTTACTATGGGAATCAAGTTTGCCATTCCTTCTGTTGTGTTTTAATTATATAAGGATAACAAGATGTTGATTAATTTGACTGGGTGTGCATAATTTGAAAAGATGTTGCTTAATTTTGTTTACGGAAAATGAGTAGTGCTAATGAAGGTTCATTTTCTCAAGCTCAACCATATAACATTTTAATATATGTAATATTTATTATATTTTAATTGTCGTGTCCTAGCTTTGTCCGTGTCCTTATTTTTTAGAATTTGTTGTATCGTTGTGTCGACGTGTCACAATATTCGTGTCTGTGTCTGTGCAACATAGGGTGTAACCTTGATATATAATATTGTTAGCTCATTTCCGGACAAGATAAGCTTTTAAGTCTAGTGGTTGTTTAACAATTATGTTTAATTTTGCATGTTTACATATAATTAATTTTGATCATCTTCATATTAACCAGTTGCTAATTAATTTTTGGCCTTATTTAATTTACCAGCATGGTGGGATCTGTTATTGTCATAACTGGCATGTATATTTTACTGTGGAGTAAAAGCAAGGATCAAACGGAAATGGTGATCAAGCAGACACAAGCTGCTGATCAAGATCATGAATGTGGTACATGCCACAAGGCATGCCCCTTGATGTAAATAAACAACCCTTCCGAAATGTTTAGAATTTAACTTTTTACCGCACTGGTCAGGTCAGATGTTGTAAGCACGGCTAACCGAGTGTTTGATGTTATGAGTGAGAGAGCACCATTTGGAGAAGTCGAGTTTTTTTCTGGGGTGGAGGGAGGGACTGGGCGCGGAGGATTTGGAAGAGGGACTCGGAGAGCGGGAGGGTGTGGGGGTCCGGGAGGTTGCTGGTGCCGGAGGTTGAGAGGGTCTTGGTGATTGGGGCCACCAGAAGTATGTCTCCCAGCTGGGAAGCGCCGTGGTGGTGGTAGTCTTTGACCAGGAAAGGCCTTCCATGGCGCTGTGCATTTCCAAAAGCATACAGATTTTGAGATTTTCAGTTCACAACTGAGAACAAAATGCAGAAACTATATTAAAACTTGGAGTTGGGCTTGCACTTGGTTGGACACTGCTTTTCTTGTTGTTAGCCAGACAGATTTTGGAATGATTGTTTTTGGGCCTCAGGCCTCTCCTCTCATTTCACCCAAAATAGTCCAAAAGATGTTTATTTGATATAAGAATGACAACGAAGATAAAAGAATGAATGGGCATAAGAATGAATGAAGATAAAAAGGACCGTGTGACGGTTATATTTAGAATATGAATGTAATTGTGTAAACTCTATGGAATCTGGCAATATATCATATATTCCTATTAGGAGTAGATTACCTATTAAATGTTGTAATCCTAAAGAGAGAGGTTTTTACCTATCCTATTAATATAAATAAAGGCACAATGGTTTGAATCAAACACACCTCACAATTAAATCACTCTCTCTTCTCTCTAACCATAGCCCGCCCCTCTCTCTCTCTAAACCCTAGATCGTTCAATCAAATAGGCCTACAACACGTTATCAGCACGCTCTTCCCAGCAGCTGAGGAATTGACGCATCGTAGGAGGAGGCTATCATGCACCAAATTCAAAGGCTTATTCATTTTCTACTAATTAGGTACGCTTAAAATAAAAGAAAATATTTGAAACGTCCACGAAGCATGAAAACATTCCCCATGATGCAGAAACCCCTCTATGTTTATATTTTCCTTTCGATATATATATATTGTATATTTGTCAATATATATATATATATATATTTGTTTCATGCATCGTATAATTAAATTGTTATGTGGAATATGTAAGTCAAAGTATCAAATTAAATTAGGAGCATATTTAGGGTTTCCTAAACTCTAGGAGATTTGAAAAAAAGAAGGGAACTTGGACATGGTGCTGCACACCCACCGCACCACTGTGGCACTGTATAAACAACCGGCCGTGCCTGGTTTGGGTTCCTTCACCATGGGCCTGCAGCCCTGCCCACACCAGCGCCTGCAAGCCTTTATGCTTGCTAGACCTCGCTGTTGCCTCGGCCCGCAGCCGATCCCACCAGCATGTTGGCTGGGTCCTCTCCCTCAGGCCAGCGTCAGCCAGCCCACAGGGCTGGGCCTTGTCCCACGAGCGCAAAGCTTGCAGCCCAATTTTCCTGAGCATGCCCGTGACCCCTACACCTCCCCCCCCCTACACCCCTTTTTCGGTCCAAACAAAGAACCCAGCTGCGGCTGGGGTTCCTCCCACTCCTAAAAGCCTTTGGGCCTATTTTTAATTGGACCCGTGGCCGGTAGTCCACCCCTGAGGCCTTAGGGCCTTGCCTACTCACGGCACCCAGCCCAATTATTTTTGGGGCAATATTTTTGACCCAATAATATTATTTAGCTTCTACAATCGAATCTATATGGCTCGATTTATTGAATTAATTAAAATGGCCTGCAATCTATTAATCTGATAATGAATCCAAAATTATTGACCTGAAGATCACTTTTGAACATTAATGATTCAATAATTTATTTTTATACTTTGAACCGTAACATACTTTCGTAGTAATGAAGCTCTCACACTTGAGTTCCCAAAGAATCTCAAATTCACTATATTCAAATTAGTATATTGCATTCTATGTTTCTTGCAGGAACCTCTCCTTATGAACTAATTGTTCATAAAACTAAATTGAAATTGTAGTTTCAAATTTAGTGCCTTTAAGCCCGAATTTTTCATTCAAAACATACCATATGAAACATGTAGTTTTCATGCATGGACAAATTTACCTCGGAAGGTAATTAGTCACTCAATGATGTTTAAATTTGTGTGTTTACATATAATTAATTTTGATTATCTTCATGGTAACGCATTGCTAATTGATTTTTGGCCTTATTTAATCTACCAGCATAATGGGATCTGTTATTGTCATAACTGGCATTACATTTTACTGTGGGGTAAAAGCAAGGATCAAAAGGAGATGGTGATCAAGCAGGCACAAGCAGTTGATCAAGATCAAGAATGTTGTCAAATGCCACAAGGCATGACCCTTGATGTAAATAAATAACCCTTCTGAAATATGTTGCTACCCTTAAGTGGCTCACATGTTATCCACATGATAAATTTGAACAAAAAAATAGATGAAATTAGCTATTTATAAAAATTTAGGAGTATAAATTGGCTAAAATTAAACTGCAAGGTAGAAATTGATAGTGACTTGTAAGTTCAATGGTAAATTGAAAAATAAAATAGCAAATTAATGGTTTAAAAGAAAATTGCCTAATTGGATTATTAGTCACCGTAGTAATAAGATAGTCGGAAGATAACCCTGGTGGTGAAAAAAAATAGGATTTAAGTCACTGGTTAGGATTTAGACTCAAAATTGAGAACTCCCTCTACATTATTATTAGTACGTGAGCTACACTGTACACATATGAAATTAAAACGAAACTCTTTGTTAATTGTTAGCACATGAGACTCACATATGATTCTAAAAGATAAAGCTAATCTTACATGTAAGCCTCATGTGCTATCAATTTAACGAAAAGTTAACATAATTTTCAATTTTAAACCTAAATCCTAATAAATTTCACCGCATAAATTAAAATCTTAATTTTTTCATCACATGGGCTGTTTTCCGATTACCAGTGACTAAGAGGCTGTTAATTCAATTAAGCCAAAGAAAAAAAAGTTAAAAACACGGGCGAAAAACGGTGCGGGGAGGAGCAGGCAATAACTAGATAAACCCTAGTGGCTATTACTGTGGCCGAGCAAAAACCCTAACGCGAGATTGAAGAAGGTGATTTGAGCTATCAGTTAGCTGCAGTATCTCGATCGAGCAATTGTGAAAATGGGAGGCGTTAGTAACAAGAGGAAGCGACGGAGGAGGAGAAGAACCACCGCCGGAGAGGAAGATGGAGATTCTGCCGTCAATGATAAAGAACAAAGAGAAGAGGGCGGCGGTCCATGCCAAGCTCAAGCAGCAGAAGAAGCTCGAGAAGCGCAAGAAGGCCAAGGCCCGTGACGCTGCTGAGAAGCGCGCTCTCGAGCTCGGCGCGGAGGTAATTATGCCTATTGTGAATTTTTGATCTGATAAATTGGTATTTTGATTGATAATTGATGTTTATTTTTGGTTTGATTAGCTAATTAGTGTTGTTAATTGCGCTCTGTAGCCCCCGGCAAAGAAGATCCCGAAGACGATTGAGAACACCAGGGAAGTCATTCTACCAAATTGGTTTACGGTTTTTGGTCTTTATCTTTGGCACTGACAGAGAAATCTGAAACTAACAAGTGGGCGTACCTATAGCAAACAAGCAAGCAGTCAGTCATTCTACCAAATTCAGGCTTAACATAAGCAGATATAACTTTGTAAGTTTACGCAACGGTGATAAACAAAGTACTAGGAAAGAAGTAGCTGAAATGCAAAACTGTTACCGCACACTTACTCGTTTTTCTCGGATGAGAATGCTTCTTTTCTCATGCATGCCCAATCGTCCTTATCGCTACTATTATGTCTTAGTGTCTCTATCACAAGCTCTGCAGCATCCCTCAGCAAATCATCAGAATCTAGTGAAAGTAACAACTTGCAAACTTCTAAAGCAGGTCGATGGCAACCACGCCTATCCGTATGTCTCATGTGAGTAAAAGGTACCGTGAACAGAGGCTTGTTTGTTTCATGGCTGTATTTTAGTTGGCAATTACCCTGCAAGGGTGTGAACATTGGATTACATGCACATTCCAAAGCATATAAGCATTTCGAGATAAGTTCAGCTGATATTTGATGTTCACCCGAAAACTTATAGTACTCTGCCATGGTTATAAGCGAATCCAAATGATAAGGATTGTATAACAAAATACTTGCAATTCCATTGATATCATGTATAGCTTTGGCAGCTTCAAATGCCCTCTGAGCTTGAAGGTAGAATGAGGAATGTACGTATCTGCACATAAGATCAAAATGCAGATTATGATGCATGAATCAAAACCAAACCAAAAGGACGCGAGATCACATCTCATAAATCCTGGTCTGGCAAACTCTAAGCTGTGAGCATAAATAATGTAAAAATACGAGAAATTAAAATTCGAAATAAGAAAAGGAAACAAGAGTAGTGAAGATTTGACTCAAAAAGACAGTTATCATTTGCTTAAAGAGCAGGATACCAGCTATGAATACAATTGGCCAAAAACAATTGAACCACATCACAACATTCATACCTGCATTAACTTCAACAACACCCGTTAATTATAGGTCTGCCAAAGTACGAGTCATTACATATTTGACAACTACTTTCTTGACAACGGTTACAATTCTCTACATTGAGCTAGGCCCATCAGTAGCACCAACTTTCTTCTAAGTGCAGAAAAAATTGATACCACTAGTAGTTTTTGTACTCATTTCAAAATACAAGAAGCAAAGAGAATGATGTTACCGAAAGTGGTGATATCCATCAATCGCTTAAGAAATTCCATGGAAAAAGAGCCATCCCAGCGATGCCAATGCTCTGATGCAGTGACAAGTACGGTTTTTCTAGGAATATGAGCAGCACGTCTTCCGCCATGCACCAGCCTAGAACTGCCACCACTTCGCTCATGTTTCTCAAACGACTTTACCACCTTAGAGCCAAAGATTCTCCGCAGCTCATTGCCAGCATTCAAATACTTGGGATCCACTTGCAGCGCAGAGGGCTGCCTGCTTTTTCTCTAAGTGTAACGTTATCGAGGGCTTACGCTACAAAAACATCCAAAGTAAAACCCTTTTACGGAATCCAACACAACCCCATCACAGCTCGATGACTACTCAGCACATTGAACGCAAAAATCAATAAAATTTCACCATTTTAATTTATAATTCGTTTCAGTTTCCTAAATCCACTAAAAAAAGTAAAGAATTAAATTAAAAAAGTGAACCTGGTTGTCATCGTCGCCGTCGCCGCCGCTGTCGTCGGTGAGGAGGTCGAAGGGATTGATTTCAGCTTTTCCATTGAGCTGCTGGATTTCTTCTTCTCCTTCTGATTCGGATTCTATTGCGTGTCGATCTTCTTCTTCTTGTTCCTTAAAAACTTTCTTCAGCATTCGACCCGACATCGCCGTAGTAATCCAAAGCTTGATTCTCTCAAATTCTCAATCATTTCTAATCAAATCAGCTTCAGTGATTCACCAACCAACAAATAAAACCCAAATTGCCAAAAAATTCGAGCTCGAGTCCGAATTCGATAACTGGATTCTGGATATCCCAATAGGAAACAAGATGATTAAACGACATCACTTCGGTGCTCCTTTGCTCAATTTTCCACGATAATGATAGTATTATCATTTATATTTGTAAATTACATTTCACTTGTTCAGATTTGAGTACAACTGCAACCTCATACATCTTTAAAATATTTCAATCTCATAAATAAACTTTTATTTGTTGCAATTTCATATATCTGTTAAGTGATGATGTGGCAAATGTATGACCCACATATTTGATGATGTAGCGTATAAAAAATAATTGGTTATCAAAAAACAATTTAAACAAAAAATTAAGTGTTTTTTGAACAAACGATATTAGAAGACAACCTTGATCTGGATGCTCTAAGTGTTTTTTGAACAAACGATATTATTTACACGGGATGGAAGGTGGACTTAAGCCTCACAATAGGCTAACCATAACAATGTTGTTCAAATTTATTTTTTGCGAAAATTGAACCTATGATTTTTCACTTACAAGTGAAGAAAAATGTAACTAAACCGTAGTACTGATTGCCTACAAATGTAATTTTAATATTAAAAAGTTGAATTTAGTCCAATTTTGATAGTGCATTTAGTAAAAACTCGAAAATTGTATATCTTCAAATTAAACTCTTTGATCAACTTGCTACATAAGTAAACTTTGAGTGGATGTTTCATTCCTGTTTTACTCACTCATTAATTATTAACTTATTATATGTATTTAATGTTCTTTCTAAAACGTTTTATGAGTAATATTAGGTAGACTAATTGTTTAAACTACATTTACAAATTATATAATATGTCACAAATTAAAATAAACACATTAATCAATACTTAAGTTATAATTTAATCATCAACACTCGCGTCATACGATTTACAAAATTCAAGTTAAAATTAATTTCCCGAGCATTACCCCTTTTTATTTAGTGTAGTTGGTACACATGCTGGCGTTAGCTTCTACCACATATTGTTAAAGATGTGGGTTATCCATACATCATTTTTGTTTTTTAAATGTCTATTGTTACTTTCTGTCTTTTGATCTTTTTCAATTTATCTGATTCGACTGTCGAAGATTAAAAAAGTGTGTAAAAAGTGAAAAGGCATATTGTACAGGTGGACAAACAAGAGTTTACTTCAAACCAACAAGATCATCTCCTGATTCTTTTGGTGAGAATCCGTAAATCATGTCCGTTTTTCATGCATCGTACAGTCGATTTTTATCAAGTATTGTTTGTATTTAATTTTAAATACAAATATTTAAAATAATTTTTAACTGTACGATATACAATAAATGAATATAATTCACGAATATCTGAATCTCAAACAAAATCCGGCGAGGATTCTGATTCTACTTCAAACTCTGTTGCCATAAGAAAACTAAGTGTCAGGTTATTCTGAATCTCAAACAAAATCCGGCGAGGATTCTGATTCTACTTCAAACTCTGTTGCCATAAGAAAACTAAGTGTCAGGTTACAAATAGCAAAAGCCGTACTGATGACGCTGCAGCTTGTTTGATTGTATCTAATCTGCTGGGGAATATACTTACAGGGATTCCAATTCTGGTCAATTTTTTTGTAATTATTGCTTAATTAATTACGCAGACAGACAGACTGAGATATTTAACAAAGAGTCAAATAACACAGTGAAACGATTATATAGGCAAGGATATTAACCACTAATTGCACGTCCAAAATAGTTGCAAATTTGCAATCAAAGATGAGTTATCAAAGTCAATATATATATATATATATAGGTATATAAATAAGTTGTTTGAGATTAAGCATAGAGGTATAATTAAGTTAAAGAAACTTACTAAGTACCGACAATTCTTCACGTGTTTCCTTCAGTTTGATCATCAACTTCAAACATTCTGGCCATTCCAAAGTCTTATATTTTTTTATTCATATTAACATCTAATAGGATATTGCTCGGTTTCAAATCGCGATGCATAATTCTAAGCCTTGAATCTTCATGAAGATATAGAATTCCTCGAGCTATTCCTCTTATTATCATGCAACGTCTCGACCAATCCAATTGTTCTCATTTTTTTGAATTCTATCTCACATTAATCGGCAAACAAAGAGTAGTAAGTAGTAATATATGTAAGAAATAACAGACAGTTAACAAACAAACCACACACAAATATATAGACATCAATTCAAGTGATATAAGTATTATTGTATTTATATACCATTTGGAAAATAATCAAGACTTTTGTTAGGCACATATTCATAGACAAGTATGGTTTCTTCTCCTTCCAAGCAAAATCCCAGAAGCTTCACTAGATTTCTGTGCTGAAGCATGGCTATCAATAGAACCTCATTCTTAAGCTCTTGTACACCTTGCAACGAGCTTTTCGACAACCTCTTTACTGCTATTTCTTGTCCATTAACACCAAGCGTTCCCTGAAAAATATATATCCATGTCACGTATATGTAGGAATTATGCTAACCACACCTATGTGTGTGTGTGTGTGTGTGTGTGTAAAGTTCCATACCTCGAAAACTTCACCAAATCCGCCTTGACCTAACTTATTACTATCAGAAAACTTGTTTGTTGCAGTTTCAATAGTTTCCAAGTCAAGTTGCAAGGACTCAATAGCTGCTATATCATTTCTAGCTATTAAGAAATTAAATTAAGCAGTGATTATAATGAGTTCATCAGAAGATTACACGTAATTGAAATAGGAAAACATAAAAGAACAAGTGATCGACTGAATTTAATTGTTTGCTTCTTCTTTTTACCATTCTTTAACTCACCCTAGACTTTATGCTTGTTTCGTGATGATCTCCTCCTGCCTGGGAAGTAGTAGCCAATAGCTACAAGCACCTCGCAGACAGTAACAGGAGCAAGTTTTTAAATATAAACTTTTGAAAACCGTTTCCCAAGGATCCGTTTAGATTTGATACCAAGGGTTGACTTAAGATTACAACATTACATCCATTTATTGCTGGTCACTAGACCAAGATAAGATTTCTCATAGCCGTTTTGTGTGACGGCAACATGACATGGACTAATATAAATGTGTATATTTATATCGTCAACTCTATTACCTTGAGGAGGAAGAGGAGGACGACGACGACGACGAAGATGACGAACCCGTGGTTTCCCGTAAAAGGGGAAAGTTTCGTACCTGACATTACAACTGGGACACAGAAATAGTCCACCATTGATTCCTCTATTGGTTGAAACTACTTGTGCTACGGCTACCCTAAGACAGGAATTGCAATCTGCAGTGGAGAGGTCCTGCGTGCACTGCGCAAGGCTGTACAGCGTAATATTCGACCCTGTAACATGCGCTTCCTTGGTTGCAAACTTGGAAGAAGCCTTGGAAGCCTCGGTGACTAAATCATTCAAAACACTCGTTGGTGAATTCAGGCAAGTATTAACTTTCATCTGATTAAATCCGGTTGGTTCATCTGATCTTGTTGTATTAACTTTCAGTACTGGCTGGATGGAAAAACTGCTCGTTGGTGAATTCAGGCAAGTATTGCACAATGGAAAAGAATGACTCATCTGAGTACCTTAACATACAGTTCTTGCCGTACCACCACACAACCCCTTTACTTCTGGGGCAGCTCCGGACTGCCGTTAGGATTGCCGCGTTCACGCATTGTGTGCAAACGTCTACCTCAACGTCACCACGACAGAGGAAGCAGCCGTGTGCCATTTCAGTTAGTTTCTTACCAAAGGTGGCGTTGTAGTAGCCTGTTTCGCTGGTGGCATTGGAGTTGAGGGCGGAGAAGAGGTCGTTTAGATTGGACGGGAATTCGGAACTCTCCCAGTCATCGAAAGGAGTATCGGCGTCGCAGCCACGGAAAGTGCGTATATCAGGATCACCGCCACTGGTCAAACTGACCAAGCTAAGCATGCATACGGAGATCACAAACATTCCACAGATGAAGATCATCGGCATATTTATATCGTAATCCGAAAAATGAAAAAGCGCATTGCTGTTAAGTTTTTGACGATCGTACTCCATCGAAATCCTGGGAATGATCGAATACCATAGACTTCTTATTACTGTATAGATGTAGATTATAAACTGTATAAATATATAGATGTATATCATCATCATTAATAATCTAACAAGGGACGTAAGCTGAGGTGACAAGATAGTGATCATTTAGTAATCTAACAAGGGACGTAAACTGTATAAATATATAGATGTATATCATCATCATTAATCATCTCATTTGAGAGCAGCTAGTCAAATTCACGACCGGCCTTATTGCCTTCACTCAGTCTTGAAAAGCATCTCGCCGGTCATTAAAAATAGAAAGAAATGAACACAGTCAAACCTTAATTATAAATTCGATACATGTTACATATATATATATATATATGTATATATGTAGTTCGACTTTATCTGTACTGATCGATCACAAATCACAAAACCATGTAGAAAATTGGGGAATTTGTCAGAAGATTGGTCCACTATCAGGAAGAAAATGTCTTTCCCGATAAATAAATCAATAATTAACTTAGAAACTTAAACATAATATTGATAACGAGTAATGCTACGCTTAATAAATTTTTCATATCACATTTGTACCACCTCTCTAATAGAGATAAGACCCACCAACACATGTGGATCTCATCTCAATTAGAGAGATGGTACAAATGTGGTATGAAAATGTGATAAGAGTAGCATTTTTTTATAGCAAATGGTTTGGTAGTCAGCGATACGTAAGGAGCCGGCCCTGATGAGAGCTGGAAGAGCCACCTCGAGCCCCCGATCTAAGAAAGTTTTTTTTGTACCCAAAACACAAGCAATGAACTACGTATCATAGCTAAGGGGAGAGAAGTATCTTTTTTCAAGTGTCCCTCCACTTGTTAATACTTTAAAAAACACTAAATTGTATGAATGTACAATGCGTTAGAAGGGGTTCGCCTCTCGCCTCCAAAATCTCATGGGGTCTCTAGCAAGAGTACTAAAGTAGCTAAAACATCTAATTTTTGTTCAATTCTGAGGCTCTGATTTGTTGAATGTCTTTTGTCATAAGTGGAGTTTCCAGCTGATTTAGCCCATGCACATTGTGATCTGATGCTAGCTGCACGATAATTTGGATGTTGCGTTAATGTTCAAGACGCTGACAGCGTTTGCGAATTATATCAGGTGCTACCGAAGTTAACGAGTCATCCAAATGAAAGTAAGACATTCGAGATTCATAATTCATAACCTTGATCGTCCATGTGAATCACATCACATGAGGGAACTCGAGTTTGAAATAGCTCGATGATTTGTGTACAAAGCTAAGGTTGGAGGAACTTCATCGAGTAGACCAATGTGGGATTAAAGAGGTTTAATGTGGTGCTGGCCAAAGTTGATAAACCACTCTTTATCTGCTCAAAGAGCTTGTTTACTTCGTCAATCCAGAAAACGTTCCCTAGCGCATTAATCAAGGTGTTGTACATGACCATGTAGAGGCCACCCTGCTTCATTAGCTTACCCGGATAGAACTCGCTAAATCAGCTCTTCCCATCTGCCCCAAACCTCAAGTTATCACAATGTATGTAGCTATGTCTCTAGGGAAAACCTCATTGAAGTAACCCTTCCTTGGCAAACAAACTCATCATGGAAATACGTATAACTCAACGGATAGAAATAGTAAATTGATTGAAGTTTGTCAGACAAGTTATCAACTATAATGTTTTTATTGATCAGGCAAATCTGAAACTTCTACTTCCACTGTCCACATAAGGAAACAAGATTATTATGTACATGGTAATACTTAACAGTGCGCTTATTCTAATCCAGCATTTTATCTGCTCAAAGTTTGTTTCTGATCCGACACATCACAGCTGTAGCATTAGTGATGTCCAACCTTTCTCTGGGCAAGTCTGCGGAGCATGCAACACCAGTTTCTAAGATTGAAATCAAGCTCTCTTCAAATTTGATGCGAATTGTTGTGCTAGCCTCAGTACGACACTGGTTTGCACTCATCTCCCCTTCCACTTTTTCTTGAATAAGAACCGGATCCACAATCTCTAACACCTGCTCAGGCAGTGCTGCCTTGACAAAGTTGTGAAGATTTGAAGATCCTTGAAACATGTCGCCGGTTGGCCTTTTTCCCGTAAACATTTCCAGCAGGAGGATGCCGTAACTATACACGTCACCTTGTGGCCACACTTCATGCCCCATACCATACTCTACATTTGTGCAAATGTTTTTATTTTAGTACTTGAAAAAAAAAAAAAAAAAAAAAAACCTAAATTATAAATGAATACAGTAAAAAGGTGAAAAGAAATTGAGTACGTTTTACCTGGAGGAGTATAACCGATTGTTCCTTTAACTCCGGTGGAGCTTGACTGATTACCAAAACCATCTTCAAGAGTTTTTGGAAGGAATCTTGCCAACCCAAAGTCACCTACATGTCCAATCATATCATTGTCGAGAAGAACATTGCTGGGTTTGAGGTCACAATGAACTATTGGCACATGACACTGACGATGGAGATAATCCAATGCCATTGCAACATCTATCGCAATGTTCAACCTCTGCGAAAAAGTTAAGCTCCTTGGCCTCTGATTTGTATCAATACTTGTCTGAGCTGGATGCAACCATTCCTCTAAGCTCCCATTCACCATGAACTCGTAAATTAAGGCCTTGAAATTAGAACCACGATAGTCGAATCCGGAGCATGCAGAGAGTACCTTCACAAGGTTACGGTGTCTAATATTTTTCAGAGCCTCACACTCAGCAATGAAACTTTTGGAAGCTCCGTGTCGATCGAGGTTGAGTACCTTGATAGCAATTGTTGTTTCACCTTGATCAAGTAATCCTTTATAAACTGACCCAAAACTTCCCATACCAATCAAGTTGGCAGAAGAGAATCCATCAGTAGCTTTAAGAAGACTTTGGTAAGACACCATACGAAATTTTTCAGAATCACTCGAAGGATCCTTCTTATTTTTGCTCCGGAAGCAACAAAGGTACAAAACGGAAAATGAAAAAAAGGCTCCAGAAAGCCCACAAAGGAGAGAGATTACCAGTTTCAAGGTTAGGCTCAACCCCCTTTTGCCGGAATGTCGAAATTCGCATTTTGGCAATTGAAGCTCTGGTATGCCCCCACAGAGCTTTGTATTCCCTTGGACTGATGTGGCAGTTGCATTCTGAAAAACTCCTTCGATAGGTACCGCTCCCTCTAAATTGTTATAAGACAGGTTCAAGGATTGCAGAAATGTAAAATTCTCTAAGAATTTTGGAATTGTCCCAGACAAGTTGTTGCGAGCGAGAGATAAGGTTTCAATACCTCTTAGTGAGCTCAAATCTGATGGAATTGTCCCTTGGAAGAAGTTTTCTTGCAAGTAAAGATACTGTATGGTTTTACAATTTCCAAGACTAGGAGGAATTTCACCAGACAACAGGTTTCTAGAAACATCAAGATGCTCTAGATTTATCAATTGTCCGACTTCCGTGGGAAGAAAGCCAGTCAAATGATTTCGAGATAAATCCAAATGAACATATGAAGAAGACAGACGAATTAATTCTGGGGATATGATACCAGTGAAATTGTTACCACCAAGAGTTAAGTTCACCAAATTGGGACACTGAGACAAAGTTGAAGGGATGGTGCCCTGAAGGTTGTTATCCTCGAGATGCAGATGAGCTAGTCGACTTAAATTTCCAAAAGATGATGGAACATTCCCAGTGAGAGAGTTGGTTTCCATATATACTTCATATAATTTGGGAAGCCTTCCTATATCAGGGGGGATGAGACCTGAAAACTGGTTGCCAGACAGCCGTATGGTTTCCAGGTTATGCAGATTTTCCATCGCATTCGGGATATTACCAAATATACTGCTATAGGCTACGTAGAAGGATACAAGTGAATAAGATAGGTTGGCTACGCATTGAGGCAACGTACCCCCAAAGTTGTTTGAATCAAATTCCAAGTATTGTAAACCGGTGGCATTAGTCAGATCGCAAAGAAAGCTCAAATCATCACCAGTTCCCCCACTTCCAAGATGGTTATCACCAAGAGTAAACCGCCCAAGATTATGTAAGTTTTTCAAAGAGGGGACTTCTCCGTGCAGTTGGTTGTCGCGTAATGCTAGTTCAAACAGTTTTGAGGCATTAGAAATTGAAACAGGTATAATTCCACTAAACTGGTTATAACTGATGGCAAAAGTTTGGAGACTTGGACAGGAATTGCCCAAGTTTGAAGGAAAAGTGCCTTGGAGGTTGTAATTAAGTCCCACAGCAAAGGTTTCAAGAGAAGAGTGATTGAAAACTGAGGGAGGGATCGTACCAGACAAGACATTTCCATCCAATCCAAGAAAATAAAAATTGGTCAGTCGACCAAAGATATCTGGAATTATGCCACCTAAATTATTGAAAATGGCACCAAACGATTCAAGAGATGATATGTTGCTAAAAGAGTAAGGGATACTTCCTGTATGGTGGTTGTCGTCAATAACAAATTCTTTTAGCTTTGACAAGGTGCCAAGCTCCTTTGGGACACTACCTTCTAACAAATTGCCGCCAATATATATGTAGTTGAGTTCAGAGCAACCTGATAAATTAGTGGGAATTTCCCCACTCAGTGAATTATTATACAATGCCAAAACTTGCAGTTTGCGCAGACGGCCAATTTCTGGAGGGATGTCATGGCTGAAGCTGTTGTTTTTCAGATTAAACACTCTGAGGAAACTCAAATTTCCAACATGTGGCGATATAGAGCCTCCAAGCTTCAAGGACCTCAACGTCAACATTGTGATCCTCTTGTGGCGGTGACCACAGGTAACACCGTGCCATTGGCAAAAGTGGATTGTTTCGTTCCACGAACTCATGACTCCAAAAGGATCTGTAGTTATCCTAGCCTTGAATTCAAGCAACGCCAGTTTATCTGTCTCGTTTGATCCGGCGAGGGCCAAACTAAGACATGAGTTAAGAACAAAGGCATGCATGCACAAATATGAGAAGAAGAGAAGTGGTGAAATGAACTTGTAATTCCCCATGGTATCAGTTTTGTGTGAAACTTTTGTTTGGGTAAGCTGCGGTAGTCTAGCAGCTTGAGCATAACCCAATTTATAAGAATTCTTGTGACGTAAATATAGGAAGGTGATTCACCCTTTATTTATAGCCATTGATCGAATAAATCAAACAAAAACATTATACATGATTAAACAGGGTGTGTGTGAGGCTAAAAAGAGTGCCTAAATATATATAGACTACTGGCTAAGAAAGCATTAATCGAATTCCTAGACTAAAAGAGTTGACTAGTGTAGAGCTAAGATGGATCTCACATAAATCATTATCCTAACATTTTTCTTCACCCTCTTTCTCACCGCAGAATATTGCACATTAGTGGGGCATAGATTCGTAGGGAAATCGTCTTTATTTAGATGGTCAGACATGTTATATGTCACGTATGAACTCTTTCATTGATATGTGGTCCAAATTGATAGTATTTCAACAAAACAGTACTTGTCTATTCATTCTATTTAAATGAATTTGTTTTGGCATAAAAACTCTCTTTCAGCTTTCGCCGTCCTGTTTCGGAAGCAATCTACCACACACACTACTAGTTTTGTATCTAGTTCTAGTTTCAGCTGTGGAAGAAATCTACGCCACTAGACTTTGCAATTTGCATGGATGGGTCAAGTATCAATTGTCATTTTTCAAGTGAACCACAAATGGCCTAGCAGTTTTGGAAAAGAATCTTGTGCATAGTTTTGTATCTTAGTTCCAACTTACAAAAGTTGGAAACTTTGCTATTGTTTGCAATCATCCAGCGCAACGCATGGTGAAAAAACGAATCTGGCTTCTCTCCATATCTACTCTATCCTAATCTTTACCTATTCTTACACTAAGATCAAGCCAACATCGGTAAAATAAAATCTGATAGCTCTTAATCACTGTGGTTAAAGAACTCTCAGCTCGCTCTTTGTCTAACTTCTAACCTACAAGGAAAAGGAACATAAAGTAAGCCTTCTGTATCATGGTTTTCCCCTATCCTTTGAATCTAATCCTGATGTTCTGATATTTCATAGATAAGACCCTACAGGAGTCGAGACCAAATGGGTTTGCTCTAGAACATACAAGTTTTCCTTTCTAAAAAGAAATCAATAAGAGCTAAAATTATCAAAATCTTACATGAGAATCTGATATGCGTTCCAGATTCTAATAACACATACTGCAAGAAGAACGAGCTTGAATTCACCCTATGCCAAATTCGTTTTGCTTTTGGATTCCAGTTACAACAATTTTTCCATGTTCCAAGCGTAAGCAAAAACAGAATGAATCGGGATTGAAGAAACCTAACTATCGTATGGAGAACCTAATAGCATCATCATTTAGAGTTCCAATGGCTGCACTATGCCCGGTTTTACCTCTTTTCCTTTCTTAATTTCAGAGTTTGTCACCCCAAATAATTGCTTTTAAGAGGAAAAAAATTTATAAACTACTATGAAGTAACCATAGGATGTACATAAATGGTTGAGATTAAAAGGTTAGGTAAGATTAGGAGAAAAGCCGAATCTGCTGGAAAATAGTATCAAAAGAAGTTTGCAGTTTTTGTGTACGCATTTAAGTTTCCAGTCTGCTACATAGTTCTGCTATTATACGGAAAGTTCTCACAATTTCAGTTGAAAATATGTCTGCTTTTTCTTCATGTTTCATTTTTTTAATAAAAGGTAGAATCGAAAGAAAGAATGAGGCAAGAAACAACTTTTAAGGATTCTTAGCTATAATTCATTTTATTGAGAGACTTCTAGTTATTTAGATAGTTTACGACAAGGCTATAGATAAGAAGCATAGTAGTTTTACTTGGGTTGGGTTAGAAAACTGAGAAGGAAACGAAGCGAGAATCCACGGCACACTCTACTTAATGGAAATAGTGAAAGCAGGATGCATTAACATAAAAGAAGAAAACTACTACATGGTAGTAACATTATCATTCAAATTTTTGCATAAATCACTACCAGAATCAAATAATCTACCTTCTAGCTTAATACACAGTAGTAATATTTCTGAGTTTTGGAAGAAAAACAAATATTCTTGTTACGTTACATACTAACCGTTTAGTAGGTACTAGGTACTGACCTGGAGTTTCACCTCTAGCAATTTGAATTACCCTGAGAAATGACCGAAGCTGAGCATGACATGATTATAGGTCGAAAAGGCACCTCAACACACGACTACACTTTTGGCCTTCAAATTTTCATTTACATTTATGAGCCGAAAGTCATAGACGGTTGAACTACAGTTGAATTGAAGTGTACAAATTCTTATCAAGGTCAGTCATCCTTATTGCGCACCATGGATGCCTTCTGGTACCTCATTTTCTCAATCTCCTTGCCCAGAAAATCTAAAGTCGTGTCAGTAACATGGTTCGGGGTGCAGCCTGCATCGAGCATCATTTTCAAAAACTTATATGCATCTTTTAGCCGACCTGCTTTGCTATGAACTTCAATAAGTGTATTAAAAGTGACAACATCAGGATTTATTCCACTACTCTTCATCTGCTCAAAGAGCTTGTTTACTTCATCAATCCTGCTAGCCTTTCCTAGTGCATTGATCAAGGTGTTGTACATAACCACGTCAAGATAACCACCCTGCTTAATTAGCTTATCCAGGACAGAACTCGCTAGATCCGCTCTACCCATCTTCCCCAAGCCTTGAATTATCACATTGTATGTAGCTATGTCTGTGGGGCAGACCTTTTCTCCCATTTCATTGAGTACACCCCATGCCTCATTGAAGTAGCCCTTCTTGACGAATGAACTCATCATGGAATTATAAGTATAACTCACAGGATTTTCACCAAGATCACTGAAAATCTCAAACAATTTGCATGCTATGCTCAGCTTTCCCTTGGCCAAGAATAAGGACAAAAAGGTATTAACCAAGTCAATATCAAAAGTGCTTTCCCCTTTCACTTGAACTCTTTGCCCCCTGGACAATGAAAACAGCCGCGAGGAGTGGTCGGTGGACTTAAGTTGATTAGCCAATTGATCCATATGTGGAGATGATGACCACTGATCAGTATCGGTGGACAAATTCTTATCATCTTCTTTAACCCTGGCAGCCTCTGACTCTAGGTCTGCATCCATTGTTGATTTTGCAGACTTTATTAAACTCATAATCTCGCTCAAGTCGCCTTTACTTGGGAACAAAGGTGTATAATCCTTTCTATTTCTCTGGGATTTTTCAGCGAAGCCTCCATATCAACCTTCCATTTAAGAACACTCGGCACTAGGTTACCATCTCTAATGTGCTTCATGAGCTTCTCCGTCCAATCCCACCGTCCTTCTTTATACAGCCCAATCACAAGTGACGAAATAGTAACTAAATCAACAGTAAAGCCTCTCCTTTCCATTTCTTCCACCAATCCTAGTGCTTCCTCAAGCAGGCCCTCCTTACAAAGTTGCAAAACCACAATGCTATATGTTACACCATCAACAAACTGACCCTTCTTCTTTAAGTCACAAAATAGTGTGTATGCAGCCTCTGCCCTTCCATTCCTGAACAAACCATCAATGAGAATATTATACGTCCACGTCGAGGCTCTCACCCCATTCTGAACCATTTTCTCAAATAACTGGCAGCCATCATTAACCTTCCTGGCCTTGAATAACCCATCTAGTAAAGAATTATAAACAATGGTACCAGGGATATATCCATTGAGCTGCATTTCACTAAAATCTTAGTGGCATCGTCTATTCGATAACACCTACAACACCCCTGAATAAGAATTCTATAGGTAATTGCATCCGGCTCGTGGCCGGAGCCTTCAATTCCTCCCATATAGTAAGTGCATCATTCACTTTCCCCACCAAGCAGAGCACATGAATGAGGCTATTATATGTAGACAAATCCGGCCCGATGTTATCCAAGTTAGAGTCTTTCATCTCTCTATACAGATTCAGACTAATACCCAAATCACCCCAACACCCAAATGCATGAATGCAAATATTATAGCCCCAAGTATCCATCTCAAACCTCTCACTCTCTCTAAGCTTATTAAAAACTTGCTTAAACTCAACAATCATGTCAGATTTTCTAAGAGCAACCAGCAACTCATTGCAGGCAATCGAATTCGGCACCTGAATCGAATCCCCTCCCTCCAGAAGCTTAAACAAAATGGCCGTGGCCAAACCCACCTGGTTTTTCCTAACCAGAGCAACAAGAACCGAGTTATACATATCGGTGTTCAACCCAGCACCAACATCTTCCATAATATCCAAAATTTCAAGCGCGTAATCGAACTTACCGGACCGGATAAACGCGTCGAGCAGGGCTTTGAAGGTCTGGGAATCGACCACGACGCCGTCCTCCTTCATGGAGTGAAGCAATTGAGGGACCTCATGGAGGAATCCCGCGCGGGAGGCGGTGCGGAGGATGTGGGAGTAGGTGCGCGCCGAGTGTTTGATGTTATGCGTGAGAGAGCACCATTTGAAGAAGTCGAGTTTTTTGGAGGGGTGGAGGGACTGGGCGCGGAGGATTTGGAAGAGGATGGGCTCGGAGAGCGGAAGGGTGTGGGGGTCCGGGAGGTGCGGGTGCCGGAGGTTGAGACGGTCTTGGTGATGGCGGCCACCAGGAGTATGTCTCCCAGCTGGGAGGCGCCGTGGTGGTGGTGGTGGTCTTTGACCAGGAAAGGCCTTCCATGGCGCATTGCATTTCCAAAAACACACAGATTCTGAGATTTTGAGTTCACAACTGAGAAGCAGATGCAGAAACTATATTAACTGGGAGAGGATTCTCTCCCTCCTAATTTTTCTTTTCTTCGATTCTCCTTCTATTTAAACGGTTACGATTTAAACACGTCAACATATTATATTGATTTTTTTTTATAAAAACAATAACACAAAATACAATATGTAAGAGAAGAGAAATGAAGGGGATAAGCACAAGAAAGGAGATAATTCTCCTCGTATTAACTGTTTGACAGGTTTTACTTGGAGTTGGGCTTAGACTTGGTTGAATACTCATTTTCTCGTTGTTAGTCAGGCTTATATTGTTGTTTGGGCCTTTTCTCCCATTTCACCCAATATAAATCCAAGTGCTGATAAATTCACCTCAGTATCTTATTTCCTCATCCGTCTTTAATAAAAAGTTAAGTACTAATTTTATCCTCATGTAAAATGACATATAAAAACCATTGGAAAAAAAAAAAGAAAAGAATGATTTGTGTCAATTTTACTCAGTGTCGTATCTCTGCATCCTCTCTCACTTCAAATTTGTATTGTTATGAATTATTTCTGATTTTATTTTGGTAATCGATTTTTAATTATTAGTCACAGTGGCTCTTATATCAATGTCACTATTTTGTAATAAAAAGTTGCAAATTTTCACATTTAACCAACAAAACCTTTGAGGTAGGTTTTAATTTTTGGTTTGGTACAGTGCATTTGATTATGGGGTGGGTTTTTTTTTAGTGGTGTAGATGCAGATGAAGGAATGGATATTTTGGGTCTGTCAAAACGAAATTGCATTTGGTGTTTGTTGTCGTAAGAACGAATTGTGTGGCTGCGTATTCGTTGTAGGTTTAGGTGTCATCATGTGGGGAAGACTGGGTTTCTATGTGCATACATGGGTGATTTATTAATGATATGAGCTATTTAGGTTGTTTGGATTTGATTTCGCGAGCTTCTTGAGGTTGTTGCTTTTTGTGTGTGTGTGTGTGTGTGTGTGTGTGTGTGTGTATTTTGTGTTCTTTGACATGGGGGTGGTCAAAGAGCAGAAAAGGGAGATTGACAGAGAAAAGGAGGAGGGGTGGTCGTGGGCAGGGATCAGGGTAGGTTATGGAGTAAGATGGAACGAAGGGCGAAGGAAAGGAGTTTAATAGAGAATGAGTTTGTTTATCCCTCATTTCAATCATACTTTTGGAATTTTGTTTAGAATAAAAATCGGAAGGAAAGACCTTGGCGATTAGTGAAGGCTTAACTGGGTTTATGAGCACTCTAATATTTATTCTTCTAAATAATTTAAATATATATTAGAGGTTATTTTTGAACAAATAGTGGATGGGAAAATAACATTTTAATTTTTAACTTTTTTGTGATGGGTGGGATTATAATGTAGATGGGAAGATAAGATAATAGGGTGGGTCTAATAGCACTCTATAATCCAAGGAATGTTTATTTACACACCTTTTCATTTATTTTGTTGTTAGTTATTTATTTATTATTATTTTGTTTGAAAAGCGAGGCTAAAAGCAAGAGTCCAAACAAACCTACGCAATAATAAATTTAGACCAAGACATCCCAAGTCAATCCTCACTGATGAAACTAACTAAACAAGAAGGAGGATTATCAAAATAGAAATTACCTAAATCTAAATCAAGATTATAAGTCGCTAAACTGTATGCCACAAAACTCTTTTCTTTATAGACATGTCAAAGTTCGCATTGCCAATTTCGTGAAAGCAATTCTCGATAGGCCAAAACAAGGGGCCTAAAGGATGATTATTGTCAGCAGTTGTAACGTCAAATGAACTGTAACTACAGAGTCTCACTTGTGCCCAAGTAAGGCCAAGTAAAACCCCATAGTTATCTCTTCTGTCTCTTCCTTATTTCCGACTTTCTCGATTCATAACTTTCTCTATTATAAACAAGTAAACTTTCATTCTTACTTTTAAACATTATTGGGTGGTTGCGTTAACTTTGTATGTCGCACCCTGATCTCGACGTATGTCCAGGATCAAACGTGTTCGGCAAATAGACAAAGCACAACTCCAGATTGGAATTGGTAATTTTTTGTCACATCCCGGCCCGGGGTGGATCACTTCCCGGGCTAAGTCCACCACCATAGCACAATATTGTCCGTTTTGGGTTTACCATTCCCTCACGGTTTTGTTTTTAGGAACTCTAGAAGTTCCTACGGAACCTGAAGCCAGTGAGCTCCCAAAAGGCCTCGTGCTAGGTAGGGATGGGAATATACATTTAAGAATCACTCCCCTGGGCGATGTGGGATGTCACAATCCACCCCCTTTAGGGGCCCGACGTCCTCGTCGGCACACCACGGCTAAGGTTAGGCTCTGATACCAATTGTTACATCCCGGCCCGGGGTGGATCACTTCCTGGGCCGACTCCACCACCGTAGCACGATATTGTCCGCTTTAGGTTTACCATTCCCTCATGGTTTTGTTTTTGGGAACTCACGAGCAACTTCCCAGTAGGTTACCCATCATGGGATTGCTCTAGCCCTCTTCTCGCTTAACTTCAAAGTTCCTACGGAACCTGAAGCAGTGAGCTCCCAAAAGGCCTTGTGCTAGGTAGGGATGGGAATATACATTTAAGAATCACTCCCCTGGGCGATGTGGGATGTCACATTTTTCATATACTTTATGGCTGCATCTAACCTCTTTGTTAGACTACCTACGTACCCTCCGACGGGATCAAGCCATTTGTAGTTCACTATTTGTTAAACTCTAAATTTTTCATAAAAACACTTCAAGCAGAAAACATAGAGTACTATCCTACACATCAACCATAAGCCAAACAAGAGTTGTCATCTTGCCATTCACACACACATGTGCTTTCCAACACCATTCCACAATCATATCAATCAATAACACATACAATACACCAAAATGCAGGGCTATTTATAACATGAACCGAATGCCATCAAGTGTTCTCTCTTTTAGAACCCCATTGGCCGTGCTTGCTGAACATGTTTCGCTCCCTTACACTCTTCAACTTGAACCCCGAGTTTTTGGATGTGTGGCATATGTCCATCTTCACAAAAAATCAAAGAAGCAAGCTTGATCCATGTGCAGTGCGGTGTGTATTCATTGGCTTTAGTCCTCAACAAAAGGGATATCAATGTTATCATCCATCTACTCGACAGACGTACGTCACCATGGATGTTACCTTCTCTGAAGACAAATTATTTTTTCCTCCCAACCATACTCCTCAGGGGGAGACAACCTTAATTGACAATGACCGTGTTAGTCCAAGTAGGACCACTGTTGGGTCGTGTAACTGTCCAGAGTATAACAGCCCAAGTGAGCACCTAGATTTTGCCAACAGCCCAAGTGGGCATAACCATGACGTTGTCGCTAACAGCCCAACTGGGCAGAATGATGAGGTTGTTGTCGACAGCCCAAGTGGGCCAAATTTGGCGTTTATTAGTAATGACCCGAATGGGCCCAAAGTCGTACATATTAATGCAAGCCCGAGTGGGCATCCAAAGTTAAATGGGCAACATAACACCACCAAGGAAGTTGAACATAACAGCCCGCCTTATACTCCTCAAGTACACGTCCATGATTCAACGGATATCTCTGAGGTAAGAGCTCACTCAAACATTAATAAACCATCTTATGTGTTACCTTCTCGACAAAATTGAGGAAAACCACCAGGCAAGTACTCTCTAGAAGAAAAGTTGTGGTACCCCATTGCAAACTACGTCTCCACTTAACAACTTTCACCAAAATATTGTGCATTGTTTCAGCATATAGAAACCATCAAAATACCTACTAGAGTGGAAGAAGCCTTGAAGGATCCGAAATGGACAGAGGCAATGTAAGTTAAAATGGAAGCATTACAGAAAAATAATTTATTGAGTGTGGTTTCACTCCCTAAAGGAAAGAAACCAGTGGGATGCAAGTGGGTGTTCACTATTAAGCATAAGGCAGAAGGAACAATTGATAGGTACAAGGTGAGGTTAGTTGCCAAGGGGTTTACCCAAACATTTGGGGTAGATTATTAGGAGATGTTTGTTCTTGTTGTAAAAATGAATGCCATCAGAGTTTTATTGTCTCTCGCTGCTAACTTTGACTGGCCTCTAAGACATTTTGATGTTAAAAAAGCTTTTCTGCATGGAGATTTAGAGGAAAAATTGTACATGGATATTCCACCAGGTTATGGCAATTCGAATTGTAGTGGGAAAGTATGTCGACTTCGAAAGGCACTGTATGGCCTTAAACGATCACCCAAATCGTTGTTTAGGTGGTTCACCCAGATGATGAAGAAATATAGGTATCGGCTAGGAAACTCAGACCATACTTTGTTCATCAAGTGCAATGATGGTAAGGTAACTCTACCTATCATATATGTAGATGATATGATTGTCACAAGTGATGATACAATGGAAATCGAACATTTACAGAGGTAATTGTATTTTGAGTTTGAGATGAAAGAACTTGGGGAACTTAAATACTTCCTGGGAATTGAAGTAGCTAGATCTCAAGAAGGAATATATTTATCTCAGCGAAAGTATTGGATTATTTGTCCCAAACTGGTATGCTAAGGTGTAAACCAGTGGATACACCTATTGTGCAAAATCATCATCTAGCAATTTATCAAGATCAAATCCCAATGAATAGGGAAAGGTATCAACGGTTGGTAGGGCGACTGATTTATTTATCGCTCACAAGGCCAGATATTGCTTACACAGTAAATGTGGTGAGCCAGTTTGTGCATGCTCTTAGTGAGGATCACATGACAACAGTAATGCGGATTCTGAGTTACTTAAAGGGAGCTCCATGAAAAAGATTGATGTACAACATGGGCATATGGAAGTGAATGGGTATACCGATGCATATTGGGTTAGAAATATCACTGATCGGCGATCTACGTCGGGATACTTTACATTTGTAGCTGGTAATCTTGTGACCTGGAGAAGTAAGAAGCAAAATGTGGTGGCAAAGTCTTCGGCCAAGGTTGAGTACAGAGGAATGGCACATGGCATTTGTGAGCTTCTAAGGCTTCGGATTCTACTCACTGAAATAAGGTTTAAACCAAAAAGGTCTATGTTGTTATACTGTGATAATCAAGCAGCACGAGAATCTGGTGCAGCATGATAAGACCAAGCATGTTAAGGTGGATAGACATTTCATCAAAGTAAAACTAGATGTTAAGTTGGTTGACATTCAGTTCGTGAAGATGGAAAAACAATTGACAGATATTCTAACTCATGCGGTCTTTACTAGAAGATTTCAGGACTCACTTGACAAGTTGGGCTTAGGAGATATCTATGCACCAACTTGAGGGAGAGTGTTGGCGTGAGTCAACATTAGAAGAATAGGAATGTGATTGTATTTCCTAGTTTGGGTATAACTCTTTTTAATATCTTTAATATTCCTTGTGGTACAAGGACTAAACGTGTATATATGTGAGTTGCCTCCTGCTGGAGAAGAATAGAAAACATATTGAAATCTGAAAGCTAACTTTAACTTGGAGAACCTTATAGCATCATCGTTTAGAGTTCCAGTGGCTGCACTATGCCCGGTTTTACCTCTTTTCCTTTCTTAATTTTAGAGCTTGTCACCTCAAATAATTGCTTTTAAGAGGAAAATAATTTATAAACTACTATGAAGTAACCATAGGATGTACATAAATGGTTGAGATTAAAAGGTTGGGTAAGATTAGGAGAAAAGCCGAAGCTGTTGGGTAAGATCAGAGAATTATAAACAATGGTATCAGGGATATATCCATTGAGCTGCATTTCACTAAAAATCTTAGTGGCATCGTCTATTCGATAACATTTACAACATCCCTGAATAGGAAATTGCGTCCGGCTCATGGCCGGAGCCCTTCAATTCCTCCCATACAGTAAGTGCATCATTCACCTTCCCCACCAAGCAGAGCACATGAATGAGGGTTTAGGGTTCATCAAAAACTTGCTTAAACTCAACCCTCATGTCAGATTTTTTGAGAGCAACCAGTAACTCGTTGCAGGCAATCGAATTCGGCACCTGAATCGAATCCCCTCCCTCCAGAAGCTTAAGCAAAATGGCCATGGCCAAACCCACCTGGTTTTTCCTAACCAGAGTAACAAGAACCGAGTTATAAATATCGGTGTTCAACCCAGCACCAACATCTTCCATAATATCCAAAATTTCAAGCGCCTAATCGAACTTACTGGACCGGATAAACGCGTCGAGCAGGGCTTTGAAGGTCCGGGAATCGACCACGACGCCGTCCTCCTTCATGGAGTGAAGCAATTGAGGGACCTCGTGGAGGAATCCAGAGCGGGAGGCGGTGCGCGCCGAGTGTTTGATGTTATGCGTGAGAGAGCACCATATGAAGAACTCGAGTTTTCTGGAGGGGTGGAGGAACTGGGCGCGGAGGATTTGGAGGAGTAGGGGCTCGGAAAGCGGGAGGGTGTGGGCAGGGACGGATCTACAGAGGGTCCTGGAGGTCCCAGGACCCCTTGGCCATCCTAAAATGTTGCTAGAAATTTTCCGGAGGACCCCTCGTACTCGAACATGAGGCCTGTGCTGCTGTGCAGACTGTCTGTGTTGCTGCAGCAACAGGTTGCAGTTTGCAACGGAGAAGAAGAAAACAGGGGAGAAGAAAGAAAACAGGGCATTAAAAAAAAGGGTCCAAAACGCAGTGTTTTGGCCCTTTTTTTTTTTTTTTTTTTTTAATTAAACCAATGAAATCAAGGGTTGCAATTGGTCCACCTTTGCAACATGATTACATATTATTTTTGAAAGTCTAGCCCCACATCCTGTCGTCCCTTTCACTTCTTCTTTACCCGTGCCTTCCACTGCTTTTCCCCCTAATCCCCCATCTTTCTTATATTCACCCAAAACCCTAAATTTCTAATCCCACCCAATCCCATATTATAATTACATTACTCCAATATTATACCTCCACTTGTTTCAATTCTCCAAGCCACCACTATTTGGTTCTAAATTCAAGTAAGTTTTTTGGTATTCTAATCTAATCTCAATTAAATTATATTAGATATTGGTGGAGATTTTTAGTCTATTATTGATATGATTGTTGATGTGTTTTATGTTTGTATACTCATTTTATAATTGAAATTTAGATGGAATTTTTGTTTATTGGTTGATTGGTATATGTTTTGTGTTTTTGGTTAAATGTGTACTTTATTATTGGGACCCCCCGAGTTTAAAATCCTGGATCCGCCACTGGGTGTGGGGTTCCGGGAGGTTGCGGGTACCGGAGGTTGAGAGGGTATCGGTGATGGCGACCACCAGGAGTATGTCTCCCAGCTGGGAGGCGCCGTGGTGGTGGCGGTCTTTGACCAGGAAAGGCCTCCCATGGCGCATTGCATTTCCAAAAACATACGGATTAACTGAGAAGAAGATGCAGAAACTATATTAACTGTTTGACAGGCTACTTTGAGTTGGGCTTGCACTTGGTCGGACACTCCTTTTCTTGTTGAAGGCCCAGATTTTGGGGTGATTGTTGTTTGGGCCTCTCCTCCCATTTCACCCAAAATATTCCAAAATAATTCAGTAGAGTTAAAATACTCCTACGTGTTTGGGCTGAGCTGTAAACTCATACGTGTTTGGATCCTCCTACATGCATAAACATCTAAATTTAATTAGTACATACATGTAGTTAGTTGATGATTGCAGATAGCATGTCACTTTAATGGCATGTATATGGAATGGATATGTTACATATGGGTACCAAAACTATTACAGTTAGACATTTAGATTGATCTGGTAGTACTAGTTATTCCTTCTGTCTCTTCCTTATTTTCAACTTTCTCGATTCATAACTTTCTCTATTCCAAATAAGTGAACTTTCAATTTTACTTTTAAACCTTTTGGATGGTTGCGATAACTTTATACTTGATAAGAGTTCGGATCATTAGGAATAATTATGAAAAACAAAAAAGAACAACATACTATCACATAGTGTATATTTTGCTCGAATGAGTCTGCATATGATCATAATGTGATGTAATGAAAGGCCTCTATGTGCATTGCTTTTTCTATGTTGTCACACACACATTAGATGGATTCTAGAATATTACTAACCAAATATATATATATATATGAGATATGATCAAGGTACAAACATTCTAACAAATATTTTTACACTTTTTAAAAGCTCTTGGATCTATTTACATCTAACGCTCCTAATTAAAAGCTAAGATGACTACTAAATGATGTGGCGATGACATAGAAATAAAAATAAATTTCATATAAATACTTTGATAAAAGAATATTGTGAAGTTAAAATAGATCCAGCTTCCTTCCTAATCCCTTTTCCGTTTAAGTCTGCAACTCTCCGCAAAAAATTATACTTTGAATATTGTTTTTAAAGATGTGTTACAGAATGTAACATCCCACATCGACCAACGGAGAAGGAGGTGATGTGCCTTATATGTACATGTCCACCTCCATATAGCACGAGACCTTTTGGGAGCTCATTGGCTTCGGGTTTCGTAGGAACTTCGAAGTTAGACGAGTTCGTGTGAGAGCAATCTCAGGATGGGTGATCCACTAGGAAGTTCTCGTTTGAGTTCCTCGAAACAAAAACGTGAGGGCGTGGTTAGGGCCGAAAGTGGACAATATCGTGCTACGGTGGAGTCGAGCATGAGATGTGGTGGGAGCCCAAGCGAGGATGTGACACAAAATTTACAAGAAAATTATTAAATTTTATTTTAGTATCACTGTATAGTTATATAAACAATAAAAAAAAATTATAAAAGGTGTTGGCCAATCACTTGAACTATTGATTTTTATAGTTCTTTCATCTACTGTTAATAACCCGTGTTATAAAACAATTTCCTGCTAAATGCATTTTGCTTTACCTACTAGGTTAGTATTGTCTAATTTTAATTAAATTTAGTGTGTTTGTCACGTTGTTCTGTGGTTTTGGATGGTCTTGAATGACTTGGTCTTTCCTGTTATGTTCCAAAGGATTTTATCTTAGGTCATAGCAAGTTTTTGTGAAAATTAAATATAAAAAAAGCAATCAATAATTTTATAAAACTTGCATTGATCATCTAACAATGGTTGCTAACACACCCTTTAAACTGATTACTTATACAGAAATAGTAGATCTGCTAATTGATCATGTGAAAAAGAGTCTAAAGTTTGACAACCATGTAGAGCAAGGAATTGATTCTTTATCTAACCACAGAAGGTACTCCCTTAGAATTATTCTAATGGTTTGTCTTATTATGGTTACCGATTAAATAGACGTTATCGATTCATTGTTCTAAATTTGTGCAGATACCTGATAAAGCATTCTACAAGAAGTTGAACGATGATTTAAAAACAATGGCTGCTATAGATGTCTTTGGTACCAGAGGTGGTATTATACTTTCAATTTTTAACCGTTGAGTTCACTTGGATTGGATCGGTTTTAAATTACGTGAGAAAGAGTGAAAGAAACTCCATAATTTGCACCCAAAAAAATCATTTCTCTTCCTTATTGGGTCCTATAAAGAAGATAGACATAGTGTGAGAAGCTTCACTTTTTCTTGAAAAAAGAAAAAAAAAATTAGTCTATTAAAATTTATAAAGATTTGGAAGTGAGAATATACTAGATATGTTGATGATGATGTGAACTACATCTCCCATTTTTATTGTGTTCATTTTGCATTTCTCATTCTTTCTTAAGTGGTAGGTTTATTTTATTTTAATTGAATCATTGTTTCTAAAGGGGATAGGAAGAATTGGGAAAAATGATGAGGGAGAAGATCAAGATCAGGAAGATCAACTACTTGCCGTCAAGGCAGGTGACTAGACCTGGCATTTTCAACCTGATCTGTTAACCCAATCTGACCTGACCTGTTAAATTAGTATTTGGATGAGTGATAAACGGGTCGGATGGTTAACGGGTCAACCCGTTACATAATGGATCATTTTGGGTGAACCAGCGAAACCTGTTATTAAGGACTTTTGTGTAATTTTAAAATCCCTCAGCCGAAATCCCACTGCAGTGATTGATGAATGTGTGAGGTGCGCATGTGCAGAAGAATAACAATCCACCCTCAGTCCAAGGAATACTCGACTCGGATGCTCCTCCTCCTCTCTTCTTCTTCCTGCTTTTTATCCCTTTTTTCTTCCGTGCGTGACTTTGCCCTCGGCGAATAGTAGTTGGACTTCTTACAGTCTTCGATCCACCATCAAAACCTCTCTGCTACTCTCTATCTCTCTCACCTGAATCCGGACTCTACAAAATTCAACCCCTAAAAATAAGAATCTCTTTCTCAGGGTCAACAAGAGCAATAAAAATGGCATTCATGATGTACTTATTAATTGGTGTATGTTGTTCCAGAATCAAAGTTTTGTTTTTGTTTGAGCCTAATTGCATTTTTTTTTATTTGTTTGTTAACTGGTAAAAAAGTTGTTAACGGATGAAACGGATGAAGCGAATGAAACAGGTGACCCGTTAATTTAACGGATTGGGTTCGGATGATTCGTTAGTTTAACGAGTTGAGTTTAGATGATCCGTTAAATTAACTGGTCGGATTGAACCCGATCCAAACTCAATAAATCTGACCCGTTTACAGGTCTACAGGTGACCTTCTCAAAGAAGATAAGAAGGGATTTTGAAGAAAGCTGGAGAGCTATCGCTTTTGTGTGAATCTAAAGCTGTTGTTATCATCTTTTCTCAACCTGCCAAGCTCTTTGATTTCTCAAGCTCTAGGTACCAACCCTGTACAACATCCCACCACCTTTTAAATTCTTTCGATTTTTCCCAACTTGAACAAATATAACCAAGAACATGACTTGACAACCTCTCTCTCCTCCTGAGAGAGAGAGACACACACACAATCCGTTTACATTTCATTATTGTTATCTCATGCCAATTGTCTAACACTTGAATTTTTGTCTACCACATTTTTTAGGCTTAATCAGATAAATAGTTTCTATGGTCATAAGGTATCCGGAAGATAACCCTTGTGGTAAAAAAAAATTCGGATTTAAACCCCTATGGTCTAAGTCTGTTAGAATTTATGCCTGAAATTAGAACTTCTATCATTCTTCCGTTAGTAGCTTGCATGTGGAGCAAAGGTTCTCTGAGTTTTTCGAGAAGTGGGTTTTCAGCTCGAGCAGCTCCAACAACTTCTCAAGTTGTCGGAGGAGATGCAGCAAAACGAGGCGGAGCTTCGGGCTTTGGTGTCAAAAGCCACCAACCTTCACAAGGAGTATTACACCGTGCAGTGGGCTGCTGCTCAGGATGACGTCCTCACCTTCTTCTGCCCTGTTTGGTCAAGCCCTTTGGAGAATGCGTATTCCTAGGTCACCAGGCGGAAGCCATCAATGCTGTTCCAGCTCGTCGAAACGTTGAAGACGACGAGCTGGTTTCCATGTCAAAGGAGCAGCTGAGGCAGAAGATGAGATGCGAGGAGGATAAGGTGGAGAGGGAAATGAAGAGGCAGCAGGTGGCGATGGCGACCCGGGCTAGGAACGGGGAAGCGGCGGCGGAGCTGGAAGGGCTGGTGAATGTGGCGATAAAGGTGATGCTGAGTGGGTGGGAGGGGTGATGAAGGCGGCGGATTGTGTGAGGCTCAAGACATTGAAGGGGTTGTTGGATTTGCTGAGTCCATTGCAGAGTGTGAAGTTCTTGACTGCTACTTGCATGGTGCATATTAAGTTGAGGGAATGGGGAGGAAGAAATGTGACCAAAATCAAATGTTCTCCTTAACCAAAACACCTAAACCTAATGGAGGAATGACAGAAATTCTAATTTCGGGTATAAATCTTAATAGACTTAGACCACAGGGGTTTAAATCCGAATTTTTTCATCATAGGGACTATCTTTCTAATACCTTGTGACCACGGCGATCATTTATCCGATTTGGCCAATTTTTTAAGCCAATGTGCAAACGGTGCCATGTGAGATGCACTGTTGATCTGATTTTCAATAAGTTTTGCTTTAGTGATCAATAAGAAGGCTTATTTAACGTCCAAGTTTATTGCATATTGTGTCATCAATATTCAATTCTTTAGGGTTACAAATTGTTTTTAATTAGTTATATTCTTTAGGGTTACATATTGCATATTGTGTCATCAATATTCAATTCTCCAGCATAAAATAGATAATCATACATGATAATGGATTACAAATTGTTTTTAATTAGTTATATTCAAATTTAGTCTCTACTCTTTCATACTGTATCTAGCTGAATTTTCCACCCATGTCAACTAATTATTATATATTATCTATTAACTCCCATAAATAATTTTTTAACACTTTGTTTTCCAATTTTAGGAAACCAAAAAAAAAAAAAAAAAAAAAAAAAAAAAGAGAAGAAGCTAGCTAATTCAACAACAAACTTACAGCGTTCATAAATATGTTTTCAAGCAACGAAGACACGAATATTCAAAGGTATGTCAAATTAATTAATATTGTATTGATTTTG